ATAATCGACTGTGATTGGTCAATTTCTTACTCTTACTTCTTACTCCGTGTATTGTAGACGACGCCTCACATGCGGCTTAACTTGCGTAAGCGTAACTTGCGCCGCCCAATCATATCATTTCACTTGAACATTAGTTTCTGTCTAGTCACTTTATGCTTTTTGCGCTATTTTGTTGTTACGCCGAAACATGATAGAACCACCATGCGTCGAATCTAATTTCTGACTCATTTTAGCTTATTCTGTCTGAAAAAATGCACAAGGGTTTCGATTTTGCAACAGTACAATTATAGAAGTCGTGCGCCCCTTTGCATCGCGTGAAAAGTCGAAACCCATGTGGAACAGTACAATTATAGACCTCATTTTGCCTCTGTGACAGATTTCCTAACCTCAATAGTCATCAACTTTAACGCTTAATATCTCAGATCATAAGACAGAACGACGTTTTTTTTGCCAGATTCTTTCATTTCCTGCAAAAACGCGTCGAATAAATCCGGCGGCACACGATGCTTGTTTTCCTACTGGATTGCTAGCTGGATTAGAATCTTGCCACCGTAATCTTCGGCAATAGTAGGTCGGGGGGACGCGCGTATTTGGCTATTTTTAAACGTTAATATCTCGTTAACTATTGCTGACACCTCAAAATGGTACAGGACTTTTTGATTCAGTATAGGCTGTTCTACCCACGTATGACAAAAAATGCGGTAGTCGCCAAACACCCTGTATACGGGAGGGCTCCGATCATGGTATAAGAATATAAGGTATTTCATTGCGCATAATGGCGGAAAAGTACTAGAACAACCAATATAAAAAATTAATGAGATGATGCAATACCCGAAGCAGGGCAGACACAGGTCCGTCCTGCTCAAGCGGTCTTGCTAGACTACTCGATCATCCGCTCATATACAGGGTGTTTGGCGACTACCGCATTTTTTGTCATACGTGGGTAGATCAGCCTATACTGAATCAAAAAGTCCTGTACCATTTTGAGGTGTCAGCAATAGTTAACGAGATATTAACGTTTAAAAGATAGCCAAATACGCGCGTCCCCAAAACAGTAAAAAATTACTAGGCACCAGTTGATATGAGTGGTGTGTACAATTAGAACTGTAGGCAAACGGGATCCTCCCCGTAAATTCATTTAGCATTTCTGTTAGCCCGGATCCTCATACGGGCAACAGCGCTTTGACACCGAACTCTGATTGGTGAAAAACGGGTGATGGGGATAAATTTTACCCCCACAACCGGCTTTTCACCAATTAGCGTTCTGTGTCAAAACGCTGTTGCCTGTGGCTGCTTTCCTTTTAGGAGACACAGTCGACACACTTGACACAAATCGACACACGTCGCTTTCCATTTACAATTTTGTTCAAACTCAGTCGACACACTTTGCCTCTGCTCGGGAGCAGAGTCAGAGTGTGTTTCGAGTCTGTTCAAGTGTAATTTTGATGAATTAAGTGATATTAGAACGCACCCGCAAATCAATTTCCATCATTTTGTTCTGTTTTCAGCATCTGGAGACACGATAGTGTCTCGGTACTTAGTCGACGAATGCTAAACACTGCATTGTTGTTAATTTTCCCTCAAATATTATACTATTATTTTTATATATTTTATTTAAAAAGCAACAAAAATAATAATAAACTTTATTTTTTAAATATATTTTATTTGATAAAAATTTTGATATACAATATTTATAAATACCTGTAAAGTTTAAAAATAATTTTGAAAAGTTTGTAACTTGTAAGATGTTAAATCTTTTTTTGGAATACCTCCACCAATTGATGCATATGTACCTTTACTCAAAAAAATACACATCACTCCTTGCAATAATCTGATCTCGTATGTCCGTTAAGGTCAAAATTCAAATCTTTTAAGGTTAGGTATTAAAAGTTCGTAAACACGATACACACACTGCACATGTCGCGTTCCATTTAAGCGTGGTAAACTGTGTTTGAGTGTGTTATACTGTGTCAGTTTGTGTCTCCTAAAAGGAAAGCAGCCTGTATGAGGATCGGGGCTTAGAGTGTACAACAGAAATTCAGCAATTGGTTGCATTAGTTCCGCATTTCTCTAATCTTCCGGGAAATACGCTCAATGTGAATGCGGGCTTTCAGAATGACGTATTCTAGTAAATAAAAAATAACGTATTCTAGTAAATTACTAGAATACGCAAGTTACGCTTACGCAGGTTATACCGCATGTGACGGCACCCTTAACCAGTCTTAACCAAGTCGTTCAAGTTGGCTATTGGCCAACTTCACCGATTATGATTTAAGATCGCTTAGAACTTCTGACTTGTGGCTTATGGTAGAAGGGCTATAAGGCTTCCCTAAATTTATCATCAGATACTCTACGAATTATTTCATTGGCTGCTGAGCATCTAAAGATAAATTTAAGGAAGCCTCAAGTACAAGATCTGACTATGAATACGGGTATATGATGGACCAATTAAAAGAAAGAATTTTACAATCTGACCAATTAAAAAACATTTCAAAGTATTTGTAGCATCGTGTTGACCATACCTTTTGTCACTCTCTGTATGTCAACAAGGATAGAACGACGTTTATGTCGACTCGTGTCATCAAATGGAAAGCACCCATCATTGATCGATACAAACATCGTATCACATGCCGTATCGCGACATCGTCACTTGTCACCTGAGCCAATCGCAGCTGATCACGACGTCACATGTGCGTATAGTTTAATCCGTGGTTGTCAAGTAGTCTTCTAATTGTGCAAAATTGTTGGTATATCGGCTGTGAGCTGTGATCGGCTGATCGTATAGGATCGATGACGAACATGCACGTTCGATGTTAAAGGATGATGATGAATTGACTCGTATGCGAGTGATGATGCTTCCAAATGAGGTTAATAACGGTGTCTATACCGACGGATATTCAGGTTATCAGGTATCGAATATCACTCTAATGTTAATGTTGTTACTCTCCAAAGGTCCTGTCGTAGATGAGATAATCATCCGACGTGAAAGAAACGTCACGATACTCTGACGAGCGTAACTCTTACCATCCCATACGATCCAGAGAAAATGTATTGCCTACAGTGGCTGATCCCGGTGCTGCTGATACCGAAACCCGTGAACCCAGCGCTGCTGCAAACTCACGTCATGTTCATGGCACTTTATCTGATTGGCTTCTTCCTGGAGCGCAAGCCCTGCACTATTTGCAGTCTCGTGTTCCTCGCCGCTGTCTTCCTCATTTGTTACAGTGGAATAGGCAATTGCCTGCTCTGGAGCACAAATTGTGACACAGTAAGATGCGACAATGGCTAAGATCATGTCAACTGTGTTTAACTTGATAATATTTAGAGAATTATCCCCTTGTCAAATTTTTCCATTACGTGTACACACGAGTGAATTTTTGCCAATCTCTTCCTCTTTCTCTCCATACTCTGGCATAATACACGAAAATAGCTTTTCAATCTGTATTTTGCTAGCATCTGTTTTGTCCGTATTGTGAAAGCGATGCCTTTAGTGTTTAGGTTTAACAAGATTAGCTTTTCAAATTATCGAAATTTTAGTCTAACGTTCTATAACGTCATGTTTTATTGAACATTTTCATGCTGAATTTATGTAGAGTTAAAATTTTGAAATTTTGAATAAGCAAAAATGTGATACGATGTATTTGATGAGATTCATATATAGTTTGAGTTTGGTCACAACTGTTGACTGAAGTCAAGTAAATTTCCAGATTATAGCATTATGTAGTCTTTTTTTGTTAATATATATTATATAATAGATGCAAATTTCATATATTAATTATAATACATTTGCTACAACAGAATAAAACAAAAATTGAAGCTTATACAGGCAACGGCATATTCCTTTATATTTATCCATAGTTTCTAAAGGCAATTTTTATTCCAATCTCTTGAATATGATTCTAAATAATGTTTTTCCAATTAGAATCCAATATTCTTCCTTATGCATTATGCATTAAAAAAATACATATAACAATTACATAGAGTTGCAATTCTTATTTTGTTAAAATTACTTGCATCAAACAATATATCAAATGCTTATTGATGTCAGATGCAAAATGAACATAATTTTTTAAATACTTTAACCAAACACTCTTAACAGGGTTTTATATATTCACACAATATGTACAATGCTCTTGGTATCAAAGTGACACGCATACGGAAACTGAAGCATCTCGAAATTTAAAATGTTATCATTTAGTAAAAACATGAAAATTTGGCAAGTTGTTTATCTATATAGAACTAATTAGAAAATGTCGATTGATTTAAAATAATAAAAATTGAAATATTGTAGCGCGCAAATATTATAAAATTTAGCTAAGCGAGTGTTATATGAGACTAAAATTTCTCAAATTAAGTACTTGTCAAATCTGCTCTAACTAAAATATAGTGTGTAGAATTAAAATTCAATGTGAAGTATGTCTTTTGTATTGCTGGTTTGGTTTTATGTTGTCAGAAGTATAAATCGTATTTATTTTTTAATTTGTATGCCTCATAAAAAGATTTAAGTGAGATACAAATTCTGTGCTATATTTATGATTGTAAATTTACTTGCTATCCACAAGTGTTAATATAATTATCTAATTTAGCATAAGTAGCATTATCAATGTAAATAATATAGGTAATCATAGTAACCAAAAATTATTATCCATATAATAGTTTATGAATATGGATAAAAATTGAACTAAAACATTAAGTCATGTCGGTAAATCTTTTATATGTGATGTCTCTGAAGTATATATGTAAAGGTCAATTATCTTCCTGCATCTATCGTATAAGCTTATATTGTAATATTTTGACATAAAACAAGGAATTCCTTTAGCAAAGTTGCAAAAGCTACAGTAGTCTTAGACACATTTTTTTTATTCAGATTCGAGTGAAAGCTTGACCAGGAATTTTTGCAACTATACAAAAATTGTATTTATATTCCTTGGTATGTAAGCACAAATAAAGAATCTGTGATGACTTTGATTGGGAAACTTCGATTAGACACGATAGATTTGTTTGTTGAAACGAATTAGCATTAAAAATATGTTCAACTTTCCCATAATATTATTGGTTTGTAATCATACCTACATCGCTTCCAAATATAAACTGTAAAAACAAACTGAGAAACTTTACAAAGAAATAAATATAAGAACTGTAAGTTTATAAATATACTAAGAGTAATAAAGAAATCCCCAATCAAGTAAATTTGTTTCTTTTTCTTCAATGCATACCATATATTAGAAACACATTGATGAAAGTATCACATGTATTAAATGTTAAAATAAAAATAACATATCAGTTTTGTTTTTTAAAGCATATTTATTTTATATTAAAAAAAAATTACTGAAGAGCTTTTCCACGACCGAAACCACCACGGAACTCGAGATCACCAGTACCTGCACCAACATCTGCCTTCTTGTCACCGGCATTTGGAGGACCACCTGGTCCTCGTCTATATCCCGCACGATCTTCTGTTGGTCTTGAGCCTTCGCTCCTAGTTGCCGCAGGTCTTGGTCTTGTAGTTTCGGATCTTGGTTGTTTCTTAAGGGTGGAGGGTACAATTTCAGGTGGTAAATGTAAGTATCCACGTAGATATTCGATACCATCATTTGTCAGGTACCAATAGAAATGTCGCCATGCAAACTGTTCTTTGACGTATCCTCTAGACTTTAAAGACTAAAAAGATAGATAGGTAAGTATATATACATACACTGGAAACTTTAATTTACATTAATGTATGAGTTAATGGTCGCGTTCAGCAGACTCAACTGTTGTGGAGTGGATCCGTGAGCACTCGCTGCTATTGATTTAGAAGAATACACCAATAATAGCGAGTGCTCACGGATCTGCTCCACAACAGTTGAGTCTGCTGAACGCGACCAATGATAGTTTATAGAGCAATAAAAAGGAAATAGTGAAAATTTTTACCTGCATAGCCTTAATGACTTGAAGATTAGGAATATTTTCTAATTCTGGATGTTTCGATGCATGATAATCCTTCTTCGCTACCATGACTCCCTCCTTGAAAAGGTACTCATAGATAGCTACACGATTCTTTTTTGGCATCAACATTCTGTGAAACGAAAATAAAAATGATTTAATACATATTAGTATAATAAATGTTATAGCCTAAAAACAATACTGAAAGGTATACTATCCTTAGTTATGTAGTTATGTATACTATCTGTATTTAGTTATTGCTATACATAACAAGGTTATGTATAGCAATAACAAAATACAGATATTACAGGATAATACAGCTGCACTATTCTAAGTTACGTTTCAAAATTACGGTTTGCATAGCTACAATTATATAAATAATACTAAAAAACGAGTATTTATTGAAGAAAATCATACGAGAATGAGACGTATACAATTCGTAAATACTCACATAACAACATATATAAAAACTGAATATAATGAAATATACTTGATTTGGACAATTTATGGATTTTGATAAACTTTTTGCTTTCTTGTGATTTTTATAAATAAATAGGATTAAAACGGATATCGCTGAAAAGTCAACCTACTTGACGATTTCAACGTGCGCCTGTTGTCGGAAAGAACCATTCACTTTCGCTCGTGTGACTCGTGGACAATATCGATATACGATATCTCGAATAATTCGAGATGAACGGGAATAACTGTATTTCTATCGCGCCACTTGCACTTTTTGCACTCAGCATTTACGTTTTCTCTTTTCAACATCAAAACATGAAACTTTTTAAGGCTTGCGCAATGTAGATAATTAAGTTATATCTTGTTACAATATATTCTATACACACAATTTAAATTATACTATCATGGATTTATCTCATTTTAAGTGTATACATTTTTTGAGATTTTAAGCATTGTTCAGGCATATGACAAACCTTTTCTAAAGATTGGTCCACAGTTCATGATATAAAAATGACCAATCACGTGTCAAAGTTCGGAAATTGTGCACATATGAACGTATGCATAAATATTGTGTATGCACATATGTATGTACACATGCATACATATATGTATTATATATGCATAAATTGTATACCTGCAAGATTTTTGGCGCAATTTTTAACTAGATAAAAAACGTAAAATATGGTCTTTAGAATTATATAATACAGGTTTATAGAGAATTTTCATCAGAATATACATCATCACATAGATTCATCATTCAAATACACGACTTTAGCTAAAACAGGATTAGAGAAGATTCTATGTTATTATTTTATTAATAGTTATCACTTATATGTGATCAATATTAGGAGTTTTCCAACAGAAGCACAAATCAACACAAGAATCATTCTTTGTTTCTTACTGATTATCGAACAAGAACAGGATGCCTTTTGTGTCAATTTGTGTCTTTTGTTGGAAAGTTTCCATCATTGAGAAATCTATGTGTGATAGTTTCAAATATACTTCTCTCATAGATGATTTTATTCGGAATTCAATTCAATTTCAAATTTAATGATCCTTATTATATTCTAATATTTAATCAGGCATCCAGTCAGGTATTTCTTTAAATCTTAAATTATTGGCGTACATAGGTCGGTTGAATAATCATTCTACCATTATTATCACTGGCTGCTGGAGCTAATAAGCTTATTCTACCACAGATATAAATCCAATATGTTAATAATCAGCGCTTACTATTCGACAAGCTGGAATTACTTGCATTAACTTTATGCCATGGTAGTATCGGGATAACACATCGGCCAGTATTTATAATAAACTTTTATATTTAAGATAATCTTAAATACAGTCTTAAGATGTCATAGAGTCGTAGTATCTTAAGAGTTAAAATATTACTTGTCACTGAAACTTTTTAAAGCTTGCGATATAAATAGTTAAGTTATATCTTGTTACAATATATTTTATATATACACACAATTTAAATTATACTATATCATGGATTTTCTTAAGGAAATATGAAATTAAATATGAATTTCTTGATAGCAAAAAGATTCAATATCAAAATGTGTCTGTACTCCATTTATTATTTGCTGGTCAAACATCAATGTTACGATAACAAGAATTGGTTTTCTTTCAAATATAATCTTTTTAGGTGAGAAACAATGCTACATACACAAATGAATACCATGTTGTACTACATTATATAACCATATATTAATTTTGCAGCATTTCTAACTTATTTTTAGGTTGCAGTATAATCTCTATTGTATTTCTAATATTGTATTTTTTTTTATCAGTAAGTTTCAAAACAGACATACGACAGAAATTCATTGTGATTTAATTTGAAGGTAATTTGAATTTCAAGAAAAAATATCTATGGTAATTAATTAATAATTATTTTTTTAAATCCTGAGAAATCAGGCAAATGAAAGTTACCGATTTTTCCAGATTTTTTATTATTTGGAGAATCATAAAGAAATAATACTTCTGTTATCAATAATTATTTTAATTAAACATTCTTAATTACCATCGTTGTTAACTTCTGTACAATTCAAGGTCTTATTAGATTTACATTTTTCTGTTGTATTTTTATTGTGAATTTTAAGAATACTTGTAGGACGTCCTCTTTTATGTTTTGCTCTTGTATCTCGTTTCATACATATTTTATGACCATTTAAGATTGGCCATTTGTGCTTTTCAGTTAGATATTCTGCTGCTATTTGAATATTTTCCATTTTAACCATTGCGCTCCTACATAAATTGAAAAATGCATTATTATAAGTATAAATATACATAAATACATACATGTGCATATATATATGTATATATTAGGTACCGTGAAAAGTTGTGTTATTTTTTCTCCTATAAACATCTCTTGAAAAAAAGACACTTTCCGTGGTACCTAATATACATATATGTATATGTAGTATATATTGTGCCATTACAGCAAAGTTATAAATTTAATAAAAATAGGTTTAATATTATTTAATATATATATATATATAAATTGTACTTACCTAAAATCTTTATTGTAAAGTTTTAATAAAGTAACACCAACACATCCAGGAAGGGCACCTCTTATTTCATGTGATTTTGTACCACTTGTTACATTTGAGATAAATAATCTGTAAAAGTATAAAATATGTATGAAATATTAGTAATCTTGTGTAAAATAAAGTTATGAGTCAAGCAAGTGATTCTTACGTTTTTGTTACTTCAATGTCCGGTTTAATTTCAGGTATAAAAACCTTTTTTCTTGTATTGGTTTCTTTTTTAAATACAATCTCACGCAATGGTTGAATAACAATTCGCTTGCCATCAGTCATTTTACCCTTTGCAAGTTTATAATTTTTAATCTTCTCTTTCACGGTAGGAAAGATGATGTGGCATGATTTACTGGACTGTCGTGGTAATTTTATATGAAAATTACCTTCAAATAACTGTTCAATTTCTTTTTTATCCTTTATTACGTGAGGAAGGCGAACATTCAATGTTCGTTCCCTTCGTTTGTTCAATTGGGATATTTTCCGAAACTTGTGCATAACCTAAAAATTATTAGTTATTAAAACTTATAAAAACGATGATTAAATACTTCGGAGAAAATAATTACAAAGCTGAGATAAAATAAACGTACGTATATTTAATAGACGGTACAAGAAATT